AAGCTAGGTATTAACCCCTTTATAAAAACTACCAATGTCTGTTCCTTTAACTGATCGCGTATTGTATTTGCCTGTTCTGTACTTTTACCCTTTGTACTTGCTACACATAGATTGAAATATAACTGTTCTACACGTCTAGCATAGCACCTACATCTTCGTTACTTCGCATACGTACTGAATTTAATGCTACTTGCAATGAAGAAGTGGATTGTTGAGGTTCGAAAGCGTCTAATAAAATTAATTTTATACCTTCCCAATCGCTAGTGTCCCTATATCGACACACATTTAAAGCTTGGTCGAACAACTTGGTGTTAATAAATTTCGTGAGTATAGGTAGGTCTTCTTTCTCTACTGCCGAACATGCTAATTCGCAAGCTTTTATGAATTGGTACACGTCCCGTTCACCGGTACATGTAGGGGTCATGAGAGTGGCTTTATCTAATGGTATCTTTCCTGGCATTTTGGTTTTCTTAGTTCGTTTAACGGGTTCTAACTGCGTATCTGTCGCAGCTCAGTCTCGTTTACTATTATCGGTCTTATGCTTGTATTCAATAAATCCTTTTCTCTAATAGCTTCTAAATATTTTTCCCTATCGAAATCTTTGGAATATTGATAACCTTCCTCTGTACTTAAATCAATTAATAATTCCTTATCGTCAACTACTGCTGTTTCTTTAGTTAATTCGTTATTCTTATTATTAATATTATCAGATTTAATTAATACGACTTCTCTAACTTCCTGGTCTACTACTTGTATACTTTCAGCTTCGCTTCCTGTTAAACTAGTATTGGTTTCTTTCTGACTCATTAATCAATAGTCATAATCAAGTAATTAAAATTAAATAATCAGATTTAAAATAAATATAGAATTAAGATTTAATTGACACACTAGCGTAAAATAAATTAATCTTACGTAAATAATTATTTCGTTAATTAAAATCTACCTAAATAAAATATCAAATAAATAAATAACTAATCTAACAATTAAATAATAATAGTATAATTATTCCTATTATTAAACAATTTTTTTTGACATTAATTCAATTAACCAGTCATACGACATCTATACTTAAATAGTAACTCTTACTAACTGTATTAATTGAATTAAAAAATTTTATCAACCTACTCTTTTCAACACGTAAGGACTTATTTCGGCCTTATAAAAATAAAATTCAAAAATATAGACTCACTGTCTTCAAATAATTTCACTAATCTCAGGACTTACCACACGGCCTGTAATTAAATTCAATAAAACTCGACTTCACTTGTCGTAATAATTCAAAACACAAAAGGACTTACTTCACGGCCTATAAATAAATTCAATAAAACCTCGACTTCACTTGTCGAAAAAAAAAATATAACACAAAAGGACTTACTACACACGGCCTATATAAATTCAATAATTCAATAACTCGACTTCAATTGTCGTAATAATTCACAAAAACTTAGGGCTTACCTCCGGCCTATAAAATCAATCATAGACATCAATGTCTTAAATAAATTCAACAAATACAAGGACTTACTTCTCGGCCTTTAAAATAATTTTCCCCCAAATACAGACATCAATTGTCTCAATAAAATTCACAAAATACAAGGACTTACTTCCCGGCCTTTAAATAAAAATTCCCAATAAATTCTCTATATATTCAACAATAAAGACTCAACTGTCTTAAAATAATTAAAATATTTTTTTATAATAACTCCCAATTTATTATAATATTACACGATCTTTTTTTTTTTTTTTTTTTTTTTTTTCGTTTTTGAACCGACGACGTCGCGGGAATTGCTTGCGCATTACTGCCGCGACGCCGCCATAATATTACACGATCTACTTCAATTAAATATTACTCAAGATTTATGAATTGTTCAACCTAATTAATTTAAAGTATGTATTCATATTTATTTAATAATTAATCAATCACTAAACTCAACCTGAAAAATAAAAATTTTGTTCGTATATATATATTCGCTAAAATATTTAATTTTATTCTATTTCCAAATAATTAAATTTATTTCTAATAAATTTTACGTTATTATTTAATTCAATGTTTCGAACAGCTATTAAATTATTTTATTTAAGTAATTGAAATTTATTTTAAATAAAGTTATTATTTTATTTAATGGTTATTTAATTTTCAAAGTCCTAATAAATAAATTTTTATTTTATTTTAATTAAAGGATTAACATTTATTATTTAAATAAATATTATTTTATTTAATTACTAGCTGATCCCGTGCACTTCGTCGCCCGTTAAATGGATCAACTCAATACTACCTACTCAAACTTTGTTCAATTCATTAACGTGTATGGTGTTCAAAATTTATCTTATCTTTCCCGTTGCCCTGAATAAAAATTCTGAATCGCAGCAGTACATTATCAGGTAGGCAATCTACCTGCGGTAGATCGCGGACCCCTTGCTGTTTGTACGGAAGTGTATGATTTAACTCTAAAGTATCAAAGTTATACCAAGTTTATTTTGATGTAATACTGTGGATTAATATAATAAATTTGGTTGCTCGTAAAAAATCGCAACTCTTAAAAAAATTATGATTGTTGAACTCCTTTTGGGTGTAATTTTCTGCGGTAAGTGCAACTCTGCCACCCTGGTAAGCATTGTTCAATAATTCGATTTGATGCAAGCTTGTACCTGATCTGCCCGAATAACCAATGGCAACCAATAAATAAATGCTAATTTCTAATGTAGACTGTAACCAATGGCAACTATAAATAAATAAAAATAAAATTTCCAATTTCTATCGTGAATCTCAATGTCCCTGTTTCAGCACCTATTTAAAATGCGAATTTTGGCAAATCCTTTCTTAGCGCACGTCTATATTATAATAGCTATCTGTATGCCAAATTTCAGCCAGATCCGTCCAATGGTTTGAGCTGTGCGTTGATAGCAGTCAATCAGCTTACTGTTTTTTATATACAGATATGGTTGCCATGGTAATATGGACACACACACACACACACACACACACACTGACATACATTCATTTTTATAAATATAGATTGATATGAAATCTTGGTAACCTTAGTAACCATGGCAACCTTGGTAACCATGGTAACATGGACACACAGACACACTGACACACTGACATACATTCATTTTTATATATATAGATTTTTTTATTTGGTTTGAATGAAATTTATTTAGAGTATTTATTTTATTTATTATTTAACTAATTGAAGATTTCTTTTAAAATAAACTATTATTTTATTTAACTACCTATTAATTTAAGTCAAGTTCGAATAACTATTATTTTATTTTAATGGAAATTATTTAAAGAGAAAATTAAAAACAAATTTATTGTTTTAGTTAACTAAAAAAAATTTAATTTAAGTTTCAAATAATTGTTAAGTTATTTTAATTAAAACGTTTAGGAAAAATTAAAATAATATTATTATTTAATTTTATTTGAATGATTGAAAATTATTTAAAATAGAACTATTATTTAATTTAATTTAATGAAAATTATTTTAAAATAAAATTCTATTTATTTTATTTAAATGATTAAAATAGTGGTCAAATGACTAAAATTGTTATTTTATTTATTTAATGATTGTAGAATTATTTTTTAAATTAAATTATATTTTCTATTTTATTCAAATGATTGAGATTTATTTTAAAATTTAATTATTATTTTAACTTATTTAAATGATTGAAAAATTTCCTACGAAATTAAATTATTATTTATGATATTTAAAAAGTTTGTTAACTTGCGACGTTATTGTAAAATAAAATTTATTACTCTATTCAATGTTATTTAATTTAAAAAAAATAAATTTCAAACAACTATTAAATTATTTTATTTAAATATTATTTAATTAAAAGTGTTAAAGATTTTTTTAAGTTACAATATATTATTATTTTTTTATTATTATTTAATTAGACAATTAAAAAAAAATTATTTTAAATTAAAACTTCAGTTTATTTAATTATTATTTTATTATTATTTAATTATTTTAAATCTAAGGTTGAACAATTTTATTTTATTTTAAAAATTTTTTTTAAAGTTCCTCACAATTTATTTTATTTAACACGAATAATTTTTTCACTTATATAATATATACTATGGTCATATAATATACCATAGGAGACGAACAACGATTTAATTACTCTAAATACTCACAACAACACGGCGGGTACTGCGGGTGCTTCCATTTGCTCGGTTGAAATGTTGATTGTAGTAGGGTGTTATGTAGTTGTACAGGATTCTTCTCGGAGTTGTTGGCAGGTGATCAGTCTTCCAACGGTGATCCAGTGATGGATTTCCCTCCTTGATCGAATTTAGAAGATGACAATTTTTCAAAAAAAAATTTTTAAAGTGTTCTTCGGGTTTCTTCTAAGTATCTTTTGAGACTCCCTGTCCACAGCGCCAAGTTGTAACGTGCCCAACAGCGTTACTGGAACAAATCTAGTTTAGCACCCCCTCGAAATTTTGAGTTTTTTTTTTTTGAACTTATGTACTTTGACGAGTTTAGAACGATGGTGTAAAAATAAATTTTCGGAAATGATTAGTTTTGAAGTTATAGACTTGCGAAGTTTCGATTTTCGATGTTATACTCATGCGCGCAACGCTTTATTTTAATGCTTTTATAATGAGTTTTTAAATTATTTTTTTCGGAATTTCTTTCTATTTATAATTTTATCTAGGCTTGTAACATAATGGATTTACTAAAGATAAGATTTAGTTTTTGCAATAATCATAAAGGTGAAGTTAAACTACAGATTAACTTTCAGTACGTGTCGTTAAGTGGTTCAGTTACTGCAGTTTCTATAAGAAAGGATACATTTTTCAACAAATCACATTTATCACTATACCAAATAGTCTCTTTTTCTTATTTATGGCTTGAAAATGTATCATTATCGTTTATTAAAAAACAAATAAAATTATCTCAACAATCCGCTGTTGTTATGACTGTTTAAAAGAAGAGGGATTTAAACACCTAACAGTAAATCCGGATACTGGGGCTCACACTAACAACGTGGAAGGAATGTGGCGCCACGCTAAGGCTTCACTATCCCAATATTGTCGAAAGAAACGATTTTACGGAGGATATTTAGCGAAATTCATGTTTTTGAAACGCTGCAAAATTCTAAAATTAGATCCGTTGAAAGAATTTTTTATTTATACAGGAAACCTATATAATCCGTTAGGCGCAATTGAGCAAGAATATATTGTAGATGATCAGGCGTCAGATGAATCCGATTCTGATAGTGAAGTTGAATATTGTTAAATGTATTTAATTAAATAAAATAAAACGATTTATCACTTAAAATAAAAAAAAACATTATGGTTAAAAATTATTTTATAACATTGTTAGATTAAGAATATATTTTATTAAATCACTATTTTAACGCTCTTATAATGTGGGCAATGATTGCCTTGCTAGTGGCACTCGTCGCTGCGCTCCTCGGCGCCGTCGCTCCGCTCCGCAAATCGAAAATATCCCCCGACTTGCTATGCAACACCACCTCAAGTAGGTCACAGGGTAAGTTATGTTGTAATTATTTTTGCACTATCGTTCTAAATTCGTTGAAATACCTGTTTCCGAAAAAAATAATTTGTTATAAGAGCGTTAAAAAATAGAGCGTTGCGCGCATAGTAAAACATCGAAAATCGTGAACTTCGCAAGTCTATAACTTCAAAACTAATCATTTCCGAAAATTTATTTTTACACCATCGTTCTAAACTCGTCGAACTTCATAGGTTTCAAAAAAAAAAAATCGAAAATTCGAGGGGGTGCTAAACTAGATTTATACCAACAGTTTTATAGAAATTATTCTAAGTCCAAATAATTAACTAAAAGCGAGTTGTGACTATGAATATTTAGTGTGACTGTCGAAGTTGAGGTTGGTTGCTCGTCTGATGGACGCTTGTCCATCAGCTCTCCACGATGGATCTCTGTCCCTTGCCACTTCCATACTTTCTAAGACCATATATGGTCTTGCGGTTAAGCCTTTTGTGAATTTCACACGCTTGCACGCGCCGGAAGTCTACATATATCTATATTGTACATTTGTGGTGTTATTTAACATAATTATATTCATATATTCATATATATTCATAATCATATATTTATTCATATACGTAGTCCTATATCTATTGTCGCACGCAGTTCATGGTCACGCGCTCGATATTATATTATTACTATTCGAAGAAGCGCTCGAGTATAATATTTATATATACGCGGTGCGAATATTATATGATTACGTATGCATTAAATGTGTTTAACCCATATGGCTAAATAGTCACAGCTCGCTACACTAGGTATACTCTTATTAGTTCAGCGGTGGCTGTCGTAGCAGTAGCATGCGTGTTAGCACCGTCCTGATATCAAGGCGCTTCCAGCTGGCAATTGTTAACAGTTTTTTATGATATTTGTACTGAAAAGTGCCAAAAAAGTGCGCGAAGGGACCGGTGTCGGTTTCGAGTCGGCCCTATAAAAATCTCCCCCATAAGGGCAGTTTTAAGTTAGGATTGTACGACTACGGATTAAGGTAAGAGCAACGCTTATTACATTATTACTCTTTCGTATCGGTGAGCGGCCGGCCAAAGGTCAGTCGGCGAGCCGTCGTTGTCGCCGTTATCGCTGAACCCGTATCGCGAATCGGGCGGCGTACGGTCGAGGCGGAAGCCAAACAGTAGCATACCTACACACTGTATGAAATACAGGGTGACGCATAGCTAATAAACCACTACGTCGCAGAAGTATGAATCGCGGCAACCACGATGACGATGATGGCACCATGGAAGCTGAATCTGGTGACCCCAACTCCAGTCCGATGGGTAACAGACTGTGCACCGGAGGTGACACTACACCAGTTACGGGTGTTAAACGAAAGGTCGCCATAACAATACCTACCTCCACGACGGAGAGCAGTGGGAATCAGGTAGAGGCGGGACTGGCGTGCATCAAATCCTTGCTGAAAACAGCAATGACCGAAGCGAGACAAGGGGGAGATAAATCGGGATCCAACCGTCTCATTAGGATACTGGAAGATATTTTCGACGTCGTGGCTCCGATGTTAACAAGGGGAAACTGAGGTCACCACTTCTTCCCCCAGCTAAGAAACTGAGGGACGACTCGGCGACCGACTCAGTGGCCAAGGGCATTGACGGGCCGGTGATGGTTGACGTTGGGACAGACACCATACTGACCCCTAACTGGTGGGAGAGTGAACAGGAGCGACGGAAGAAGGAGTCAACAAGACGTCGCCCACGCAAGGCAGGTGCTCGTGGGCCGGCAGAGGTGACTATTCACACCGACGATGGAGCTGAATCGGCGATGGAGACGGACGGCGAAGCGTGGAAGGAAGTCAACGGTAGGAAAACAACCTCAGCATCTCCCAATGGTAGAACGGTGGGCCAACACATACCTCTGAGAACAGGGGCCAAGCACAGGGCTAAGCCCCCGGCTGTCTTAGTCAAGTTGGCGGCTGGCACGTCATACGCAGACACCGTTCGCGCAATTAGGCAGAACAAAGAGATAAACTTGGCGGAGCTGGGAGCTCAGGTAACAGGCATGCGTAAAACCAGGGATGGTCATCTGCTAGTTGAGCTAGACAAAGGTGCTGGATCTGCAGTAGCAGCACAGAAGTTGTCGTCGGCCATTGCTACCAGGCTGGGTGACGTTGTCGGAGGAGTATCGCAGCTTAGCCAGTATGCTGTAGTCGAGATTGTGGACCTCGATGCAGTAGCAACCAAGGATGAGGTCCTGTCAGCATTGCGGGCGGCAATACCAGGATCTGATGACGACCAAGCAGCCATCTGTGAACGGCAGGCTATGCAGATCACTGGTCTCTGGCCCACTAGGTCCGGCCAGCAGATTGCTACTGCCAGAATGACTAGAGCCGCCGCCTCTAGTATAAGCCGAGTACCAATTGGATGGACAATGTGCCGCGTTCGCCCTAGGCGGTCTGAACCAGAAAAGTGCTTCCGATGCCACGGATTTGGACACCAAAGTGGTAATTGCTCCGGGCCCGACCTATCGTCCAATTGCAAACGCTGTGGAGAACCAGGGCACGAGCTAAAACAATGCCTGGCAGACAAAGACTTATGCGTAGCGTGTGAGAGAGCTGGCTTCGAGCGTTACGAGCATAAGCCAGGCTCAGGTATGTGCAAAGCCAGAAAGGAGGCAATCAAGAAGCCAACCGAGCACAATCCACAAACCCAGTCTCGGCAGGTAGGCAGCGGAGATGGAGTAAGCACGCTGCAATGATTCGCTGCTTACAGATCAATCTTCAACGGAGTTCCATACCACAGAGCTTGCTCCAACAGACTTCCGCTGCCACTGGCTCTCAAATTCTCATAGTATCTGAACAGAACTGGAACCCGACTCATGACGACCGATGGGTAGCCAGCACCGACGGAACTTGTGCAGTTGCTCTCACGGCTACCGCTGACTTGGTGCCTGACTCGATCGGGGCGGGTCGCGGCTTCGCTTGGATTCAGTCACGGGGCATTAGGATATACAGCTGCTACATCTCCCGGAACGACACGGATGCCAACTTCGCCAACTTCCTGGGAGACGTCGAGCAGTCTGTTCGCTCGGTAGACTTGCACTGCTCGGTTATCATCGGAGGCGATTTTAATGCCTGGTCGCAGGAGTGGGGCTCAGCGCGGAATGATGCTAGAGGCGACCAATTAGCTGACCTAGCTGCTAGTTTGAACCTGTTGGTTGGCAACGTTGGTACCAAGCCTACGTACCGCAGAATAAACGCTGAGTCGGTGATCGACGTCACGTTCCACCGCTGTCAACCTTGCCTCGCCCTCACCCATTGGAGAGTGATGGACGAAGTCGAATCGGCGAGTGACCACAGATACATCCAGTTCCGGTTAGAACGGTTTCAACGGACTCCTGATCAAGACGATCCCCCGGAACGCCTCAGGGGATGGGCCTACAGACAGCTCAATTTAGACGCACTAACTTCTCACCTGGCAATAGCACCTCTGCCCGCTACTGATGAAAACACGCCCACTGATCAAGCTGCTGACCAGTACATTTCATACTTGACATCTGCTTGCGACGCATGCATGCCGCCCAGGGCACCACCGCCTCACGGCAGAAGGCCATCCCACTGGTGGAATCAAGAAATTGCCACGCTACGCGACGAATATAGTCGACTGCGTAGGAGCTACCACAGGGCAGCTAGAAGGCGAGAGTCACACGAACAACTGGATGTTCACCGAACCGCATTTAAGGTCAAGAGAAAGATATTGCGGCAGGCAATAAGATCCTCCCAGGCTAAATGCTGGTCCGACCTATGCAGATCCGTTGACTCCGACCCGTGGGGTCTTCCCTACAAAGTCGTCACCAAACGCATTGGTCGTCGACGTCCAGGAATTGAAGCCCGCGGCATGGAGTCGGAGATCGCCGATCACCTCTTCCCGAACCCCCCAGCGACGGACTGGGCACTCGAGCTCCACCTACCAGAAACCGCAGAAGATGAAACCGTTGAAGACTTCACCCTGGCCGAACTGGCCCAAGCCTGCAAAAGACTTCCCCCCGGTAAGGCAACCGGCCCCGATGGTATCCCCAACGAGGTTCTAGCCAAGGTGTTCCTCCGGAAGCCTAACATCCTACTCAGCGTCTACAACAACTGCTTGGCCAACACCACCTTCCCTTCCCGATGGAAGGAATCCAGACTGGTACTATTGCACAAAGGCCCCGGCAAGCCGACAACCGAACCGTCCAGCTATAGGCCGCTGTGTATGCTTGATTCCTCGGGGAAACTCTTAGAGCGGCTAATTCTGGCAAGACTCGACACGCACCTCGATAGCACCGGTCATAGATCACCAAACCAATACGGGTTTCGCCAAGGCAGCTCGACCTCTGACGCAATGGAACGACTGCTGAACGCCGCACACGGCGCAGCGTTAGGCGCGGCACAGCACAGGGATATTTGCGTGGCTGTGTCTCTAGATGTGAAGAATGCATTCAACACGGCTCCCTGGAAGAAGGTGGATAATGCCCTCCGGGTTAAGAATGTACCCTCGTACCTCGTGAAAATGATAAGATCCTACCTACAGGATCGATCCATATTGGTTGGCGAAACACTTCATCGTCGAAGTACGACGTGCGGCGTGCCCCAGGGCTCGGTTCTCGGACCGGCCTTGTGGAATGTCTTTTACGACGATTTATTGGACATGGAAACCCCTTCGGGTGTCCAACTCGTGGCATTCGCCGATGATGTGTGCGTCATAGGCATCGCCCGCACAGGCGAAGCAGCCGCT